CAGATGATATTGCAATCACCTGGTGGTAATTAATGTAACAGAATCATCAACCAAACACCATTTAGCAATAATAATATCTACAACATACGCATTCATTAGATTTAGGCTAAATAATGTGATATATATACCCTATTCTTGAGCTGGCATTGGAGGAATCGGTTGAGAGGGAAAACGACTACAAATGCAAAATGGATAGGAATGACCCAAACGGCGATAGTACCAGAGAGCTCGGCGATGTCGTCAGGCTGGCCAAAGTACTTAAGAATGGGAGTTGCAAAGAAGTACACCGGGAGGAGCAAGATGGAGAATAAGAAGAGAACAATCCAAGATCGTTGCAAATACACTCCTAACATGTCATATTTTTTCGCTCCAAACGCTTGACCGCACAACGTTTCCAACGCACTCGCCATTCCAAGCTACATATAAAAAATAATATTATACTTTTTTTCATATACATGTGTTAAACATTATAAGATAAGCCAAATATGCGTATGTGTGTATACGAGTAGGCCGACGTTGAAGCCGATGATGACGTTGGTGACAATGGAGATGGATGCGAGTTCTAGCTCGCCGAGGTGGCCGGCAAAGGCGTGAATGATGAAGAGGATCAAGTAGGTTGAGATTTTGGTAAATATGGCTGGTCCAACGATGCGCCATAGCTTCTTAGTCTCAACCAATATATCTCCGTCGTCCTTAGCTTCATGTTGTTTCCTTAACAAAGGAAGCCTCACCTTCTCTACCCCTTCTGATTTCTTTCCCATCGTCGAGCTTTCGGGAAAATTATAAAGTGATCAATGAGAGCAGATACGTGTTGACACACACAATATATACAAAAATAAATGATAACCGGGAGACATCAACGGTTTCCATGAGTCAGTTATTTAATCATTTTCTTCCTCTTACCGTCCTCTTTCAAATTAACTCCATGATATACCAAATCTTTGACTTCATCTATACGCCCTCTCAGTGGCGAAGCCAGCCAAAAAAATCACCAGGGGCAATATGAAGTTTGAACTTAAAATCATGTGGCGCATTAAAAGAATTTAAACACTTAATCATAAAATATTATTCAATGAAAACGTTTCTTTTTCCCATAATTCATATGGGGAAGCTGCCCCATTCCGACCTCTCTACCTCCACCACTGCGCTCTACGTCCACAGTACTGGCTGTTGTCATAGATGTAACTTTCACTTGGTTTTATTCATTTTACAATCAAGAATTTATTCATCTATATAGTGCCGATCGAGCCCCTTCACGCTCATAAACTAGTGGTTGCAAAACAGAGAAGAAACATGGTAGGAGACGTGAGCATGCTTATTAAGCATATTTCTCACCAACCAGGCCATTGCTTAGGTTTCGGTTTACAAAACAGGATTACTTACTATATACACCGATTAGCTGGGTTTCTTGATTTTAATTGATTAATATTAGAGATTTAAAATCTGCGGGTGGATACACATTCTTCAGTTTCGTGCATCCCACCGTTTTTAGCCGCATAATTGCACACTACGTGCCTGCATGCAATGATTTAACAGACCACAAATTGTTATGTTAAATGACATATATGTTATATAAACCATCCAGGTCAGGTGTACAAAGGTAACAAACAAATACCAGGCAAGTATTATTTTTTGAAAAGATATTAGTATTAGAAATTTGATCCACGAGGAGGTATTAAATTTTTAACTGTAACTTTTTAAAGTCAAATTTGAAATAATTTTAATATCTACTTTTCTATTTAAAAAGCTTAAACGTCTAATATAAATTCTATATTATCATCGAACGGAGAGAGATAGTAAAATGACAAAGGAAAGCAGACCTTGGACCGCGCTGCTGAGTTGGAATCTCCGTTTTCGTTTTCTGGAGAAAAAGGGAACGAGGAATTCTCAACGAAAACAGTGCAGGATAGTTTACTTCTCGTTAAGGTGTCCACAAGGATATTATTTTTATTTTTTAAAAGAATAATTTTGCAAAAAATACAATTGATAAAGTTGTCCAAATGTCTTTTCTTTTGCGGCTTTATGTTTATGGTGCGTTCCGGTGACTAGGGGTGGGCACAAGCCGAGTACTCGGTGTTTTTTGTATACTTAGTACTCGGTTTGGTTTGAACGAGTAGCAAATATTTTGACTTGCACTTGGTTTGTTAAAAACGAGTACTTGCAGTTTCAAGTACTTGCAAAAAATTGACCGACTTGTAAGTTATTGACTTATTTTATTATTTGTTACTTGTAAATTATTTAAAATTTTATTCATAATTATTGATAAATTATTTGATAATTTATTAGAATTGAAAATTAACTAATTTTATTATATATATATAAATACTATGTCATTGTTTTCTTATATTTAAGTCATTCAGAAAATGGACTATATAAGAAAGAAAAAATTTCAAAATGCTTATATAAATATAGCACTTATGTTTGATGTACTTATGAATATGGAAATATAAATGAATTATTTTACTATAATTTAGGAAAATATATCTTTGTTTATTAACAAATACAAATAACAAACAACAAATCATTAATTTTATTTAATATTTGATTTTTTATATTTACAAATAGTTTAAATAGTTACTTGATACTTAATTTGGTACTTAACTTGGTCAGAGCAAATAATATTTTTAAAGATTCTATACTTATCAAATAGCGAATAAGAGGTAAACAACAAGTAATTATGACCACCAATAAAAGTTAATACTTAAATGTCAAAAAACTAATAAAATAGTAAATGTATTTAATAAACTAAGTAATATATAATAAATAGTGGAACAAGTAAATGATAACAAGTAACAAACCAAGTAACAAACCAAGTAGTTAAAAATAAAAATGGACTTGATACTTGACTTGTACTTACGAGTATTAAAATATGTTTACTTATTACTCGACTTGATTATAGCAAGTACTTGTTTTTTCAAACCGAGCCGAGTCAAGTAGCGAGTACAAACCAAGTATCAAGTATTTGTGCCCAGCCCTACCGGTGACCGTCTGGAAGTTACTCCGACGATGACTTTCTTCCTATGAAGGTGACCGTCTGGAAGTTATTCCGACGATCACTTTCTTCCTATGAAGACAGTGGTCGTTTTATGTGACACATAAATTTCCTTTACTGAATAGTGTCCATGTGTTTTTCCATTCTTTGCTAATCTACAGGTGGTGAACAAGTGGAAGGCGTCTTCTTTTAAGGTATTTTCTTGTTCGAATCTAGTTGAGCCGAGTTTTTTTTCACCCATCGTTGACCTTTCGTCGTACTGTTTATATTTCTAACCTGTTTATTACCTTTCTGATGATGCTTAATATTATAAGACACATAAAAACAAAAAAATAACTTTGCTTCGAGGAGAGCAACCTATAATCAAAGTAAACTAGTCATTATTGAAGAAATTAGATTGATACTGAAGTAATGTAGTAGTTGATAATATACTTACAAGTTTACCATCGATGACGTATCTAATGACGTGTCTGAGCAATATAACTTTCTCAGAAACGTTTCAGTCAGAGAAGTTAAGGAAAACCAAAGTCACGAGCACCAGTGGCTCGATCCTTCATGATCACAACCTCTAAAACCTAACTGAAGCTTTGAAAATACTCATGAAGAAACTGAATTAATTACAGATTTATCTTGATTATTTCTTACATTATCTATTTTTTGAAATTAATTTTATTTATTTCTAACAAATTTAAAGCTTCTCTATTGTAGGTTCCAATACCAACTTATCAACCGAAGATCAATGACAACACATAAAGAAAACACAAATGTGGTAAGCCTTGTGCAATAAACCCCATACGGGTAGTCGTAAATCTCTCATCAAACGCATTTTAGAACAATTATCGTCTCTCAATCTCACAAACAAAAACACTAAATATCGACATGAATCAAATGACATCGTTACAAGAATCTTCTCCAATCAGATTCAGAGAAAAAAATCAGATTGAAGTCCACTAAATTTAAAGCCCATATTTTTTAAATCCATTTTTATTTTTAATAGATCAAAAATAACTAACAATTTCTATTTTTGTTCTTTTTAGTTTTTTAGATTATTTAGGTCTACCGTTACAAAAACAAATTCTCACACTCAAACAATTAAACAAAATCCAGTAAGAAATCTAATATATATATATATATATTATAAATTTATAGACTTACTAATTTATACAAAATACATTTTAAAACAATTTGTTATTTTTTAAATAAATTTCAGGTTGAATAAAAAAAGTAACTTCATTTACTGTTTATATAATGAAATTACTAGCATTTCATTATATCCTTGTATGTTTCCGTAGGAAGAACGATTAGAGTGACCTGCGTCAGCAAATTTTTAAGAGTTTGATTAAACGGAAGATAATGAAATTATTTTATTAAGACTTATTCTTGGGTTCACCAACCAATAGGCTGGTGTTATTTTATATTTGATATCTTTTAAAAAAAAAAAACAAAATCTTGTCAAGTTATATTATGTTTTTAAAATAAAAATAAAAAAATAAATAAAAATACTACTATTTACAAAAAAAGAAAATAAAGATATTTACAAAAATATTTTAACATTATATTGTTTTAGAATAAAAGATAAAAATAAAATAAAATAAAATAAAAATAGTAATAATTGCAAAAAAAATTTAAACAAAAAATATTTTAATATATTAAAATAAAAACATGTGGTCAAAATAAAAAAATAAAAAAAGTATATTTGGTTAGTATTAATTTACCCAAGAGTTAAGATTTTTCTAAAGGATTTATAATATATCCAAGGGTTTAGGGTTTAGGATTAGGGTTTAGGGTTTAGGATTAGAGTTTAGGGTTAAATATTTTTTAGAAAAAGCTTTTTTCCTTTTTTAATATTATTATTTTATTTTTATGTTTTATATTTTTATTTTAAAAACATAATATAACTTAACAAGATTTTATTTCCTTTTTAAAAAGATATCAAATATAAAATAACACCATCCTATTGGTTGGTGAATCTAGAGGTTCACCCCCTAAAGTGAACTTAAGAATAAGTCTTTTATTAATCTACGATTTGGATTTGCATATTGTAAATTACACGTGCAAACGTTCCATTAGTTCTCACTATGAATCATTTACCGCGATCCGACGACGATACGCGTTTAGTATGATGAAAAAATAATTTAAATGATCAAATAGGGAAATACAAAATAAATGAAATTTTCACATAACACCAAAGATTATAAATAACTGAGGAAGAAATAAAGAAAATTTTGAAACAGATGTAGAAGATAAAAAAGATATCAATTAAGCTAAAACGGCAGTGTACAAAACAGCAGCGAAGACGGTTCCAACGCTGAAAGCCTTGTTGGAGAAAGCGGCACTAGGAGCAGGCGCATCATCTGAAGGTCCTGGAGCAGGTCCGTTTGGGCTCAAGGCGGGACCTTCTGATGCTGGTGGAGAGGCGCTAGGAACATCAGATGGAGAAGGAGCAGCTGATGGTGGAGTAGTGGCGGGGGCTGGAGTCGCGGCAGGTGGTGGAGTGGTGGTTGGAGCTGGAGTTGCGGCAGGTGGTGGGGTGGCCACTGGAGGAGGAGTAGCTACGGGAGGAGAAGTGGCTGTGGGAGTAGGAGCTGGGGCTTGAGCAAGTGCAGCTGTGGCAAAAAGAGCCATTATCAAGAAAACTTGGACAGTTTTGGAACCCATTTCTCTTTAGAAAATGTTATTGTTTTGGCTAAAAGTGAAAGAGTGAGAGATTATGAGACTATAGAGAGAGAGAGAGTTCTGAAGTTCTGAAGTTCTGAAGTTGAGAAAAATGGAAGAGGACGTATAAAAAGAGAGAAAATGAAAAATCGTAACGATTTATTAAACAATACAGTATTTCTAATATTTTGATATATTAGAGTAAAATATGCAGACTAACATGCAATCGCATAATCAAAGTTTCAAAAAAACAAAAAAAAATATGCAAACGCATAACTGGAACATGGGGTTGTCTATCTGTACTCTCCGCGGCCGAGGCATTAATAACATTTTGCAAAAAAAAAAACTCAATATAATTGATTATAATGATTTTGTTGTGTATTGACAATTACGATTTGACATATTTTGATAAGGTAGATCGATCTACACATAATCACATATGGAACATTTATATCATAATACATTAGTCGGGTGAAGACTTCACATCTTCCATCTTTGTTATGTTGACTCTGCTTAATTTACCATCCACAAACCATGATTTAACGGTAAATTAGGAGAAAATAATTTTGACTAGGTAAATTAAATATACTTCTGACTTGACGAGCTGTGATTGGATATATGGTGAATATATTGGATAGAGAATCCGATATTTTATTATAATATGATTTCAAAGATCATTACTGTTATATATCATATGATGACATGATGTGGCAAATGATTTCAAGAATCAAGAGTTGCAACTTCGCATGTCTTTCTGTCTACTTGATCCACTCGTTATTTTAATTTTATACTAGTATACAACGACCCTTTTATATAATTTTGGCATAGTATAAGTTATCTTTTTATATGGTAAAACAATATTGACAAAAAAAATATAGTAAAACAATATTATAAGCCGTAGGAATCATTAGTCCCATGTGTCTGACCTGATAATTGGATTAGTTTGTGAACATTATTGGCGTTGTTAGCGATAGCCGATAGCTAATAGACCGTTGGAAATAGTTGTCAGTGGCTTTTTTTTTGTAACAAAATAGTTGTCAGTGGCTATAAATAACTTTAATAAACATAAGGCATCAACAGAAAAAAAATAAACGTATAAAAATACGTCGTCTGGTAATAGCCTGTAAGGCTATCTCGACAGTGATTTAGAAGGTAAGATGATTATTAGTGAATCATTCATAATTGGCAACACATTGCCAGTTGTGATGTGATAAACGAACCTAACATTTAGAGCCTACTAACATTCGTTCTTTACTTGACACATCCATTACGAAGAGTTTCAACTGATCAACGTCATATGGAAGATCAAAGCTGAGTAATAATTAGTATGGGCTCAACTGTATGCCCATTACAATGATACTTTTTTTTTTTTGTCAACTTTTCCATTTATAGGAAAGCCCAAATGGGCAAAGATTACAAGCAAAGATAATGGCCCATAATTCACCTTTTACAAACTCGACATTAAAATAACATCCTAGTGATTAGGCCCAATATATTGACCGTATCACCGCTTCGGCTGCCACGCAACAACCCACGCGTCTTCATACTAACATCCACTGGTACACGCGTCTCTTCACGCTCGTCTACGCGCTCCAGAGAACGCAACTCTACGCGCCGCTGCATGAGGTGAAACTGACGACATCACCGGAAATCCCCAAAGCTTCGCCGCTGGACACAAACATCTTCACTTGCAACAACTCCTTTCTCCGGTCGCCGATGATATTAGAAGAGATCTCTCCCACTTACCAGATGTGAAACTTGCCAATGGCTTCAAAGATTCAAAGAACAAATCTTTGTCAAAACACTAACCTTTATGGTCAGCTTTGACTAATCTAAATCTGCCTCAAATCAGAAGCTTAATCAGAAAAGCTTGATCTTTTACTCTTTAAGGAAACTTCGCTCATATACACACAACGAAGATTGACACCAATCCGAGTTAGGATCAAGGATAACCAGCTAGAGGCAAAGACTCCACATATATCAACGGTATTTGAAATAAAATTAAGAAAGAAGGAAGATCATAAGACCGAACTTTATTAGTATTCAAGTCAATACTGGAAACTGAAACAAAGAGCTTGAAGAACGATTCCAAAGTTGACTTGAAAGCACAACAAAAATCGCCTATGCGAAAGATTAAGATCCGCTAACCGGAATAAAACATCGATCCAAAGATCGAAAATATATTACAACAAAAGATAATCTCGAATCCCTCTGAAAGATAAGTGTATGGTAAGAGGGACATCCGAGAGAGAAAAGTCTCTCCATTACAATGATACGAGTCACTTTTTTTTCCAAAATGGGCTTAATTATCGTTTTAAGCATGACAAAGTGGTCCAACTACAATTTCGATGTTTTGCATCTCTTTGTGCAACGAGATTCGACTTCTTTGATTCTTTCCTTCGAACGTGTTCCACACAAAAAGAATTGAAGTAATTTTGTTTCCCCGCATAAAACAACCCCAAGATTTTTGGGATTCAACAACTTAACAGAGAAGAATCAAAGATTGGAGTGTAAGGAGAAAGAGGTCTTTAAGGCTTAAAGCAAAGTCAAAGAGATGACAAATTCTTAAGAGAACTTAGTTTAAGACATATTAATAGAGTAGCTCAATCATCACAAGCTGTGCACATAAATCTTCATAAACACTTCAATAACTTTTTTTGGAGTAAAGGTTATGGGGATGTTGAGATCGAAAACGGTGGCGGAAACATGACGCATAACACTCTCTCCCCCCTCCTCAAGATCCTCACGCCTCGTCCATCTGCTCCTGAACAAAAGAACATTAACAACTCAGTACACACACAGTTTCTCGTCTGTTTCAGATTCCAAAAAGTTATTCAATCTATCTATGTGATGCATCTGAAGCATCGTTGACCAAAATGCCTATTCACACTAAGATGCGAAGAAGAAGAAGACTAACCTGCATATCGGAGGTCCAGAGGGTAAGATTGTCCCTGAGCAACTGCATGATGAGAGTACTGTCTTTGTAAGACTCTTCTCCCAAAGTGTCAAGCTCAGCAATGGCTTCTTCAAAAGCCTACAGAGAATGAATCCATAATAAAATAACACACTCAATCCCCTAAATTCAAACACATCTATCACAAAAAAAACAGGAGAAAACTCTTCTACAAACCAATCTCAGGACAGTTACTTATGTCTGTTTCTATTACAAAACCTATTACAGAGAATGAAACCCATCACAAAATAAGATACCAAGACAAACTTTATAACGAAACAGGAGAAAAACTCTTCCAAAGACAAACTTTATTACAAAACAGTGACTTAAAAAAGAACCTGTTTGGCCATGTCACAAGCTTTGTCCGAAGAATTAAGGATCTCATAATAAAACACCGAGAAATTCAACGCAAGACCAAGCCTAATCGGATGAGTAGGCGCCATATCAGCAGCTGCAATATCCTTCACAAAACAAAAACAAAAAACATTCACATTCACAATCAAAACACAAAAAAACAAAAACATTAGTCTTGTAATAAACCTCTACCTTAAAAAAAAAAAAAAAACTTAGTTTAGTTTTTAACAAACCTGAGCAGCTTTATAAGCAACCATTGTATCTTCAGCAGCTCCTTTCCTCTCCTCACCAGACTTAAACTCCGCCATATACCTATGATAATCCCCCTTCATCTTCAAATAAAACACTTTAGACTCACTCCCCACCGCAGACGGGATCAGATGCGAGTCGAGAAGCTTGAGGATCCCTTCGCAGACGGAGGAAAGCTCCGTCTCCACTTTAGATCTGTAGTCTTTGACGAGCGTCACGTGCTCCTCGTTCTTGCGGCTCTCTTCCTTCTGCTCGATGGAGGACACGATCCTCCACGCGGCGCGTAGAGATCCGATCACGTTCTTGTAGGCCACTGAGAGGAGGTTACGCTCTTCGACGGTGAGTTCTGAGGATGGTGTGGCGGATGTGACGAGCTGCTCCATGAAGTTGACCATCTCTTCGTAACGCTCGGCTTGCTCGGCGAGTTTCGCCATGTAGACGTATTGGTCTCTGCCTAAGGTCGCCGCCATTGGAGAGAGAAAGAGGGGAGAGAGAGAGAGAGAGAGATTTGTTTTTTTTTTTTGGGTTTAGGAAATGAAGAGAAAAAAATAAGGGAGGAGAGGGGAATAAAGGAGAAAAGAGTCAAGTGGGCTTATTGTTAAAAAGATATTTTTTTTTTCAAGCGCGCGTGAGGTTTAGTTTCGAGAGTACGACGTCGTTTTGATTAGAAACTTTCGTGAGGTTATGCGCGTGAAGAGTGTTGGAGCGTGAAATGTGGGGGAGGGTTTTGGTAATGTGATAAGAGCGAGTGAGTGGAGGATAATGATGGTTTTTAGTGAGTCAGCTTTGTTGTTACTTAGTTTGGATATTTGGGCCGTTATTAGGCCTCATAGGGGCCTTCTGAAGTTAAAAACTGCTAAGGCTAGCATGCACTGAGTAATCTTAGAGTACCAATGCCAGGAACATGATAAACATTTGAGTATCAAAAGGGAAGTTTTTTATCATAAAAACAAAATGTCGTCGCCTGAGAGATTCGAACTCTCGCGGGGAAACCCCATGTACTTAGCAGGCACACGCCTTAACCACTCGGCCAAAGCGACGTTTTGAAAGCTAGCATCTTAAATAAAACGTGAACAATATCTTGAATGAAAAAGAACAATGCGTGAAGATATATTACTCGCATATGCTGCGCGTAGGTATTTACATTGTTGCTTGTGGTAAAGACGACAACACTTTTGGGTTAGTTCGATTGGTTCTGGTTCTAAGAAAGGTGTTCTTCTTCTCGTCGACTATCTTCTGGGGGATTGCAGGAAGAAAAAATGCTCTCTTCCCCAAATCTTTGTCAGCCAATGAATGGACTCAAAGACATCGTCGAGACACGAGATTTTAAGGTCTTACCTCATCTGTCTCATTTTCTTTATTTTTGTAAAGTGTTAACTCTGACTTGAGATTAGCGAGCTCATTAGTGTTAGTCTAATGGTCCGATCGTCAAAAAAGAATCAGTCATCCTTTTCTTTAGTTGTATTAATGGGAAAAGCATACCAGTTTTATGTGAATTGGATTCAACAAGAACGCATTATAAAAAGATTTATCGGTGATCCTGATTACTTGTGTACGCATATTGAAATAATAATTGGGCACCTTTTTTTAACAATAGTTCAGCAGAGCTCATATGTTTTACGCAATTAGCACTAAGGTTGGTGGGGTTTCTGATACTAAACTTGATAAAAAGTGTGTTACATTACAGGCATGGTTATTAGATCAGTATGGAGTCCTTCATGATGGCAAAAAACCTTACCCTGGCGCAATCTCAACTTGTACGTTATCATTTACCTTTAGCTTGTAGCTATAGCCTGATTCCATTAGGATGTAACGTTTTGTAGTTGGTATAGAAAAGAGTTTTTTTCACTATGCAATATTTAGATTGGACTTGGCTTCAGTGTTGACTAGTCAAGGGATGATTTGTTTTTGTTCATATGACTTGCCGGAAGTGAAATATCAATTTACTATTATATTTTCAATTTCTTGATAATTTTCTTTGAGATTTCTTCAGTCTATGTGTAGTTCTCTTCATCATGCTTGATTGTTTTTTTTCCGGGGAAGCAGTACAGAATCTTGCAACAGTGGGTGCCAAGATAGTGATCATAAGTAACTCCTCTAGACGTGCTTCTACTACAATGGAAAAGTTGAAAGGTCTTGGCTTTGATCCTTCTTTCTTCTCTGGAGCTATAACCAGTGGTGAACTTACCCATCAATCTTTACAGAGGTTATCTATCACCACCAATTTCTTCTCTTCTTTTTTCCCCGATATAGATGCTATAACTTACTGATAAATGTCTGTTACAGGAGAGATGATCCTTGGTTCGCTGCACTAGGAAGACGTTGTATTCACATTACCTGGAAAGATCGAGGAGCAATCTCTTTGGAGGTTACTTACTTATCACCTTGTTTACTTTTACTTGTGATTTATCGATGAAGGTTATTTGATGTAGTTTCTGTTTCAGGGTCTAGACCTAAACGTTGTGGAGAATGTGGAAGAAGCAGAATTTGTTTTAGCTCACGGCACTGAAGCCATAGGACTTCCTTCAGGAGGTGTATCTCCTATGCCTCTCGATGAGCTTGAGAAGATTTTGGAGAAAGCTGCAGCTAGAGGACTCCCCATGATCGTTGCCAATCCAGATTACGTTACTGTTGAAGCAAACGTGTTTCACATCATGCCAGGTACACTGGCTGCCAAGTATGAAGAGCTTGGAGGAGAAGTGAAATGGATGGGAAAGCCTCACAAGGTTTTGAACTATCAAATAAACTTTGTGCCTCTTTTGTGTATGTTAACACACTGAACATTGAATGTGTAATGTATTTGGACAGATGATCTATGAGTCAGCTATGGCAATTGCAGGAGTTAATAATCCAGGGGAGGCTATAGCAGTAGGAGACTCGCTTCACCATGATATAAAGGGAGCAAATGTTTCAGGGATTGAATCAGTTTTCATCACTGGAGGGATCCATGGTAGTGAGCTTGGTCTCACTTCTTTTGATGAAACTGCAAGTCTAGACGAGGTCAAGTCCCTTACTGCTAAACACAATGCATTCCCGTCATATGTTTTGTCTGCGTTTAAATGGTAGTGTTCATTGTATACAAATCATGTTATATTTGCTTCTTCAACTAGATTTTGCCTTCATTTAAGACTTGAGAAAGCAATTCAATAAGTTCACTGTCTGTAAAAGTAAACATTTATTGCTGTGTGAATGAGAGTAAAGTCAGTTGATGAGCTTTGGTCTATTTTCAATAGAGCCTTTATTCCCTCTTGGTAAGAGATATTATCTCTAATGAACCTCTAAACACTCACTGGTAAAGAAGAGTGCAACAAGACTAACCAAAGCAGCGGATGATTACATTTTCCAGGTTTTTTCTTTTCCCCTCAAGATTTAATATATTAAAAAGACCAAAGCCCAACAAATTACACAGTCCGAAAGAATCCGGGATCAATATATCCATCCAAATGGGTTTCAAGCCCAAATTAGAAAAACCTTAGCACCTAAAGGAAAAAGACGACGGCCGCCACGCAGATCGGAAGAAGAAAGGACGGACATGTGCATCCTCGACACCAAGTGACACGCGTTGTGAGGGCCATCGCGTCACCACTGCTTCTCGTTATCATCAGAGAGCCAAAACTTCGGTTTACCGGACCACACCAAAGCTCCATAACTCCGCAAATCTTCACCACATACACCTTCAAGCTCATGAGGATCAAGATCGGAGAAAATCAAACGCCGTTCCGCGGTCTCATCCGCCATCTTTCAACGCAAACCACTTACGAGAAGGCTTCGCACACTACATCACCAATACCTCGTCTTCCGACGAGATATCATCCAACAAACCCAACCGAAACCACAGAAACGAAACAAGAACGATAAACTACATCCTAAAGTAAATCTAGGAAACAAAAGCAGGTGACGCAAGGCAAGGGACAACTTCACCCCAGAATCAAGGCCGGCGACGATGGAGCTGTGAGAGCCTCCACCTCCCGAAATCTAAGCCGGCGACGCGGAGCTAAGGGAGCCTCCACCCCCATAAACTTTATCGGCGACGGCAGAGCTATCAGAGCCTCCCCCTCCCTGAGTCTAAGCCGACGATGCGGAGCTAAGGGAGCCTCCACCCACCCATAAACTTTATCGGTGATGGCAGAGCTATCGAAGCCTCCGTCTCCTGGAACAAAAACACTTGAACTCGATGACTAAGCTGAACCAAGAAGAAGGGAGGCCACCACCGCCGGCACGCGCACATACGCACAGTCGGACGTAGGGGCCTCCTTTACCGGCGATTCTCTCTCTTTTCTCTCTCTTTTGTGGATATGAGTATGAGCCGTCGAAAAAGCTGAAAAATCGGATATTATTTTCATTTTTCATGTTATGAAGTTAATTTTATACCAGGTATATTGTGTCAATACTCTCTTAAATTTATAGCTTCAAACTTCTACAATAAAAAGGAGAATTTTCTTTTTCCAAAACCAAAGTATAACAAAATATCACCCGCAAAATAAGGAAATATCTATACTGTTAAATTATGATCATATTTTATTTCTTTTGGATTCTGTCTTTGGATTTTCATCAAATTGGTAAGATAATAGCACTCTTTATTTTTAGAATTTTAATTAACTAAACAACTAAATATTTTCTATATTTATGGTAACTAATAATTTTCCTTATTTTGCAATTAATAATAATTTTCTTTTTATGAAGATTGTACTTTCTATTTAATTTTAATATCCTATTTTCGTGCATAATATTATTTAGCAATAAAAAAGTACAAATTATTATTTACTATGTCGTTTTATCCATAATATTGATATGTCAATTCAATTTGTTTATAAATAATTTTTAGATATAAAACAAGTAAAAATACAAACTTATCGTAGATAATTAATAACGAAAAGAAAATAATATTGTTATGAGAATATATTTTTTTCTATTACCATTGTTTCATTTTTTTCAAGTGACATGAAAATTTTCATTAAAGAAATTACAAAAAAACAGTTTTCTTTAATATTAAAAATATGAGTTATTTAACTAATTAAAAAATATATTTTCAGTTTTATGGGGTTTTAAACGGATCAATGAATATCATATTACATATTAATAGCGAGTTTTAGGATATTTACCGGGTTTTATCAAAATTTTAATTAATAAAAATTTATTATGGGATAAATCGGTTCAACTATGAATCTGGGTTAGATATGAAAATACTATGGTTGCAACTTGATTACATATTTCTGGAATGGAATGCTTTGGAATGACCAATTCCTTTAATTCCAAAAATAAATTTACCAGTTAATCTGAATGGAATAGAATGGAATGTTCATTCCATCAATTCCACAAAAAAAACAAACATAATACAAAGCAAATCGTTCCAAAGCAATTTGTTTATGAATAATTGGAATTGATTCATTCCATTTTTTTAGTGCATTCCATTCATCTTATTCCATTCCTCTCTATTACATCTATTCATTTTTTGATTTACCAATTACAACCTATGTGAATATCAATATTATTTTTAATATTAATAGAACAATTTTTTTAAAAAAATTGACTTTAAATAATTAATTCATATAAATTTTATCAAAAGGGTAAAAATATATCCGTGTTTTTAAAGCACCGATCAAAATCTAACTATAGTTAATCACAAAAGTGTCACGTTTTTCACATCTATAACATTATTTGAGAAGTAAATTTGCTTAGTTGTCATGTTCTCCTTAATTTTAGGAAATTTTATTTATTTATTATATTTTTAATATTTCTATAGAATTTATTTATAAATAAACGAATTTATATGAATATACCATATTTTAAAAAAATAAGATAATTCTTGTGAATTTTGTTGTTATCTTGAAATATATTTTATATATAAAACTTAAAATTAAGATATAAAAATTATATTATTTAATTACATATAAATCATCAAAACAATTATTTGAAAAGTGAATTTGTTGAGTTATCTCCATGATCCTATGTAAATTTTAATCATTTATCATAATTTGGCTAATTTTTTATTATTGATTATATAATTAAAATAATTTATATTAATAATCTAATATTTTATAAAATAAGTTAATTCTTATGTATTATGTTGTTAACTTGAAAATATATTTTTATATTATAAAATTTAACATGTAAAAAATCTATACTATTATTTAAGAAATGAATTTGATGTTTGCTAATTTGTCATATTTTTCATGATTTTAGGTAATTTTGATAATTTATCATAATTTCTATAATTTTATATATAATTTATTATATATTTAAAAAAAAATTTATATTAATAATATCAGATTCTTAGAAAATAAGATACTTCTTATATATTAAGTTGACGTCTTAAAAATATATTTTTCTATTAGAAATTTAAAATTAAGATATAAGAAGTTGTAGTTATTCTATAACTGAAATAAAATTACGCTAACAATATTATACTTTTATAAAATAAAGTAATTCTTATGTATTATGTAGTTATCTTAAAAATATATTTTATATTATATAATTTTAAACTAAAATAGAAAAATCATCTATTATTAATTAGATATAAATCATCACTCAAGAAAAAATATTTAAGAAGTGAATTTGATGATTCGTTAAGTTCTCCATGATTTTAGATAATTTTAATTATATGTCATAATTTCTATAATAAATATATAATTAAAAAATCTATAATATTATATTTTTAGAAAATAAATAACTTATGCATTATATTCTATCTTAAATATATGTTTTTCGAAATTAAAATATAAAATTATAATTAAATATAAATTAAGTAAAAATATTTGTATAAATATTATAATTTAATAAAAATTAAGTAACAATATTTGTATAAATATTATAATTAAATATAAATCAAGAAAAATAATTATAGAAATATATTATTTTAATATTTTTGATGTTTGAGTTTTGTCATTGATAATTATTTGATGTTTGATTTGTACTTTTTGAAAACATAAATAATAACTTATTATGCTGGTTTTAAAATTAATGAAACATCAACTAATAAATATTATGCCCGCTAGTGCGGGCAAAACACCTAGTGAGAAACTATTTCGGCTAATAGTATGAATGAAAGATATATATATCTTCTAAAATGGGCCTCTGTTATGGGTCTTTTTCTTTTGTCATATATACTTTAATTTTGGGATCACATCGGGCTTTCTGGTCCAATACTGCTTCCCTTTTAAATAGCAGCTTACCACTATGATAAATCCTACTTTGTATCTGATATTTTATGCATTGTTTGTTAATAAAAATTATTAAACGTCTATAGTTATAAGTTATAACATTGTTGGTTAAGCTTCTGAATCTAACTTTATAGTTCTACTTTTATGATGTGTAATAAACGTGGAAATAGCTTTTACTTTCACTATTACAAGTTTTAAAGAAATATGAACACTTTGATTATCAATCTACAGCTAGCAAAATCGTGTTAGTCTAAGCTTTCATGGCTGTTTTGTTTGACTAATTGAACGATTCATACATCCTCGTCGTGATCTTTGCTGTAAAAGAAAGTAACTAATCAAATAACTTTAACAGGTTTTGTCACTATTAACTAATCTATTAAACTACTCATGTTCTTTAACATCTATCTATTAGTATATTAATACTTTAATTAGCGATTGTACCAAAATACTCGTTATTCTAGGGTACACATAATAAGAAATTTTAAGAGGTGTGCAAAGTGCAAGCATCATTACACCCAAGTGGGTAAATTGCCCTTCAAACATGGAGTTACTGTCAGACACATATAATGTTTATTTTTTCATAATGAAAAAGATTACTGTATATCTTCAGAGTGAATATAGAGTTTGTACTAAAATCCTCCCGTTATAAGAAAATAATCACTTTGTTTACAATCATATGGTTCATGAAAGATCTTTTCATTTTGTTTATCCTATGTTTGTTTCATGTACATATTGATCAATAAAATACAATGAGTGGATAGATACAAAAAAATCTCACTTCAAAAAGAAAGAAAAGATACAAAAAATCGCAATTTTATGTATTAAAGTTGAACAAATCAAACAATCCACCATTTAATATAATGTTTCACTGCTAATTTGGGTCTTTGCCCCTACATGTTTGCCTAATACAGCCAAAACATCCTAATGTTTAAAAAAATAAAGCGACAAGACTAAAGTAAATGATTTAGGAAGTAATATTTTTGGGGGGAACAAAAAGAATTATAGAGAAGGTTTAATTAAAATGAGATTAAGACAAAAGATGAGAGATTAAGATAATTGAAAGGAGGACAGAGAC